GACAATTAGGTCATGGCTTCGAAGCCTAGTCAGAAGAAGATACCTAGGCATGATAATCACAGGTCTTTAAATCCTCTAATTTGGTCCGGAATCGAAGGCTTATAGGCAGCCAGCTAGTCCTTTTTTACCTTTATCATGGATCAAATGATGAGTGGGGCGGACGGAAAGTCAGAAGTCCTGCGAATGGCATCTGAAACCGATGTCGAAGGTGATTACGCTTCACTAAATCTATTTGAAGAGATACTGGCGAAATTATAGAAAACGATAACACAAAATGGTGTGGATAGACAAATGGGCCATATGAATTAGGATTAAGAGAAGGGAAAGCAGAACTGGAAGCTAGGTCAAATCATAAGGAGTGATGCCACAGCGGTTGAACACAAATAGGTCAAATTGTCTTCACTTGTCACCTTGATAAGTTGTAATTATATGCTAAGGATAATATCTCTCAATGACTGTCGGCGAAACGTCTGGGTATGTACTAAGTCAACGGTCAGATGCTAGAAATTATCATGAATACTAGCGCAGAGGACGCAGGACCAGGTACGTTCTACAAGGTTTCACTCGCTCCGGCCAAGTTGCGAAAACGAGATCAAACCAGCACAATACAGCTAACGAAGACTATGACTAAACAAAAGGCCACTTCATCTTGGTCTTCATATTTGTGATTCTTTTAGTCCTGTAGTATATCTTTTTTGTCCCTCAATGCATATATATATATATATATATATTACGGGCCAAATTAATCGTAGAAATAATTTAAAGCATTCGGAATCATGACGGTTTAAAAATATTTGTCTTAGTATTTCAGATTGCTGGTAGTTAGGATATCATCTATAGACTCAAACGAAGGTTTCGCCTTGCCATATGATTGTAGTCTATTTTGAATTAAAAAATCCTGTTCTGCTTTTGATGCGACTATTTTTAAATTTACTTTGCTTATTCACTTACTTTACTTAAGTTCGCATTGGATCGGTTCTAACTAATTTACTAACTCCACCGAATAACCATATCTCATAAGAGTTATTTTCATGGGTCTGGACTGTCTTTTTGATATGTAAATATATTTAAGACTAATGGAATTATTTATTGAAGCAGGCCGGCAGAAAGCGAAACTCATAAATGGGTCCATAGAAAGATGGCATTTCAAACAAGAAGCACGTTTTTGGCAGACCCATTTCCTTTATACGTCTTATCCTTATTTTGAATTTTCTGTGCTTCGACTTACCTTTCCCATTTTGATTGATATCCATGACAAACCGATCATTGGACCGCGTTATGCCGTGCCTATCTTATCGAAGCGTTATGTACATTAGACTTTACCTACTAATATCTAAAAAAATTAACCTTGATTTTGCAGCTTAGTTATGCTTTAGATTTAAATCAACTTACCCCTTGCTGTATTATTAGCTTTCATTATTTACCCTCTCAGCAGCAAACTTCCTACTAGGTTTTCAACGTCTCACTTGAACTACAAATCGGTTGTGAAACTCAAGTCACACCAACTCCATATTGAGACAACTACTGTCGGGCTTAAGACAACATCATCTTGGTCTATCCCCTAAAATTGCGTCCTCATGCTGTTTATACACTTAATCGCTACGTCTGAGGGAGATCTACGTCTCATTATTTTTAGATTTTTTAGGATCACTTTCTTTGTTTCAACTCCAGTTTAAATAGTGACATGCTTATTTTTATTTATATTATATTTCCTATACTGCCAAAAGATATAATTCCACAGTACTTTGCTTCAGAATGTTTTAGTAAGAATGATACGTTTATTGGGACATTCGTAATAAGATGAGATTTTGTTTTAAGCTCTCTTGATTTTTTTTCAGAAGATCAATCTTATTTTCGGTATGATTATATTTCTAAACTATTTGTTACTATTCAATAGGCAATTTAGTCATTCTAGGTCGCTTAAGTTTATGTAGGACTAGTTATGAAGCTAATTATTTCCTCCTCATAATATTAAAAATATTGATAAATAATTAACTTCAAAACTCAGCTAAGCTGTCGTCTTGTTCATCCGTTTTGTGACTACTCAGTAAATACAAGGTATATGTATGTATAAAAGCTGGGTTTCCAACTCTCTTAATTGATCGATGTTGGAGTATCTTTCATTTCGTTTGAAGACGAGTGGGGGGATTTGTAAGTTGGTCTCACCGGAAGCTGTAGGAGGATTGCCGTGGAGCCGTGACTGTTGATTTGTGCGAATCGCTCTGTGACCCAGATGAATCCTTATCTTTCTTCCGTCGTGTGATGGCCATTTTCAGAGCAGAACACCATACCTAACGATAATTCACCAAAAACGAAGACAAATAAGGTGGCCGGCTTCAAACCTACCTTCTCCTTATAGTTCGATTTAGTCCACTTAATTAGGATATCCAACCAAAATATGATATGCCTCATTAAGTGGACCAAATTGGGCTATAAGAAATAGGTAGGTTTGAACCTGGCCACCTTTCATGTCCTTATGTTTTGGTGAATTATCGTTAAATATGGTGTCCTGCTCTGACAATGTCCGTCACAGGACGGACGAAAACTCAGTAAGGATTAATTGGGGTCACAGTTATGTGGAAAGAATGATGTAAACACTAGATGATAATGAAACATACTGGGTCATCACCAGGGGCCCTACTGAGAGCCTTAAGTCTAGACTTAGAGATTTCCTGCAGTATCGTTTATCAAGCGGTGAATTGGAGTAGTGTAAAACATTTCTTCAATGAATGTATGAAGACAAAGATGGTGTGGCTTTTTGTGTGGTCGCAGTATCATTTCGTTGTCTGGAAATGATGATGCATACAATGGACTCCGGACTAGGTTCGTTCCTCTAAGTCTTTCTAACAATATGGCCAAGTTGTGAAAACAAAGTCAAACAATTTCTTTAATGAGATGATGAACCTCTGAATACGTTTAGTCCTCCCAAAATACACAAAGAAGGCGTCGGACATAGGATTTTTGTGAATGATGCGTCTAGCTTGATGCTTAAAGATTCATCATTTATTTTTCACCAACTAACGCAGTAAAAAATTTCATAAATCCCTTAATTTAGTTGAGTAGAAAATTTAAATCATAGGTAGGAGGGTCCAGATGTAATTGCTGTTTTAATGGCAGTCTCTTCTCCCTTTAGTAGTCCACGATCCTACATTGGGAATTAGCATAACTACTATAGTAGAGAACTTCTGACAAGAAATGCACTAACATTCCTGTAGTCGATACCACACAGGCTGTAGAATTAGCATTAGATCAGCACCCAACAAATTAATTATATTGATATACTGTACATATTTTACCTTTGCTAAATCGTGCGAACAAACTCAAGGTCTGCCCATGTAATCGTGTTTGCCAAGAATTTTAACTCGATTTGAGTTAGCACCTTTAGTCTCTAAATTATTATTCTATACATAGATTACTACTTTGCTGTTTGGCAACATGTCAAAACATACCTGGAAAATTTCCTAGAATTTATGAGAGGACTAAATTCATACTGGAATAAGGAAAGCAAGGTAGTTTATCCTTTGTGGATCAATTAGTAGAGGAAATAGAATTGGCTCGATATCTTTTGGAAGCCCGCAAATGCAGGTTTCCTTTTAGATTTCTTTTTTAATCATACTTTTGCGGGTAAAGTAGGTATTATGAAGTATATACTAATGAGGAGCCTGTGCGTTGCAGATCTTAATCATCTGGGTAGCAATTCACACGATTAAGGGCAATTTGTGTTTAGAACATTCATCCGCAGGACTCATTGAAATATATTTTAAAGTAATTGTAAATAGGATGGAGAGAAACAAATGTTTTGTGCAAAGTAGAAGACTAGACCATTTTACAAGCGTCCTAATTTTGCCATACTGTCTTCTCTCGAGAAAGAGAGGCGGATTATTAAGAAACTAAGGCATCATGCCAATATATAAGGATAAAATACACTCCTTTATATTGCCTTTTCGGAAATTTTCGGACCCCCTTTCAAGATGGGGCTGTTATAAAGTTTTGCTTTCCTGTGGTAGCGTCTATGTGGGTGCGCTCTATTTTAATAACGATTTTCATTCCCTGAAGGAAGCACCTCGTTATCCAAGACATTAATATAACAAGATTAAATTTTTTATCGCAGATGGTTAGACTTGACCCGCTTTATTTTTTGGAGCTAGACATCTGCTAAACTTGTAGTGAAGCCCCAGTTTTGTTAATCATGTTGGCCTACTTTAATTTTAACATATATAGAGAGCCTGGTTTCGTTCCTTTACCATGTAATCATTACAGCTAGGGGCTATCATTGCTTGATCTCCCATAGGGCTAATGTGGATCCTAGGCCGATTTGATATTTTAGGAGCTGCTAATTGGGCCAGATCAGCAAACGGCGTGGAGGCCTAGTATCACCGGTAAATCGTACTTTTGACCTTGTATATCTTGAAAGCTCTCTTAAAAGTAATCAGCATCAAGTTGTGCTTTCAACTTTGATAGCAAATGGGGGTGGAGAATATGACTCCCGTGACAAGTCTATCACATTTGTAGGTACCGATACAATCTATACTACTTGTGAATAAGTACTATTAGTGAAGCGTTGCCGGTAGTATGCTAGTCAACTGTATCACTTTATTAAGAATTTCTGATGCTTCTTTACATAAAATGTGCTAGATTCGCGACTTGAACTGTAGTCTTACTAGGGCATAAGATCAAAATGACAGCCCACTCTAAATAATAAGCTTTTTTGAAATAAGAGCTTAATTCCTAACATATCACCAATTCTATTTTACAATTAAAGTTTTGAAGCTCTGGTTTCCATGGTCAAATTTAACTTAACGATTAAAAACAGTGTATTGAAATTACCGACGAATTTATATTATCAAAACCATGAGAAAGTTTTTATTTTCATTAATTAGGGGTAAATATCTAGTTAGAATTTCATAATTTTAATATTATCCAGAACCAACACTAGCTAGGTACTTTTATAATAAACAAAACTCCTTTGCAATCCGAATTTTATCCAAACTCGTGTATAGGGCTCCATCTTGCACCGAAATTGACATATCTGACTTGCTCACCTCACCTCGGGTCGGCGTTCGGAGGCAGATTGTTGTGTATGATAGAACACCCTGTCATGCTGACCACGCTGACGACGGCTTATTGCGTCACACCACCGCGGCCGTTGGTCTTCTAAAGGCCGTCAATCCTCCGACTTCATCTTTCAACTCTTCCCTTATTGTCCCTTCATTAACTCTTCCGTCAACAGAGCTTCTGTTGCCTGACAGCGGTAACCATTATCAGAAAGGAGTATTTCCGCCCAGCAGAGTACTTAAGGATGTGGTTGTCTTCGACCCTAGACATTATCCTGATTTAGTTAAACGCCTTCAGCTGGACATAATGGAGCCGCCAGCAAGCCAGGTAGTAGAGCTATTGGATTCGGCTACAATAATGTTGCTTTGTTGGCTATATCTATTTTTTGTTAAGTGTGATAAAAAATAAACGCAATTTTACCTAAGGTATTATGACCAGGATGGTGTGACCTTTTATGGTCGTGGTCTCCTTTCTTTGTATAGAAGTTGTTTGATCTCGTTTTCGCAACTTAGTC